TGGGGTTCTATCTTAGGAAAAAAGGAGCTGGCCACACTCACTGGCCGCGGCTCTGAACCCTGTGGCTGGGCTCTGTGTCGAGGCCTTCTCCTCTGGGCTCCGTGGCTGGGCTCTGTGTCCAGGCCATGTCCTCCTCTTGTCCTCTGTGGCTGGGCTCTGTGTCCGCGCCCCTCTCTGTGTCCAGGCCTTGTTCCTCTTGTCCTCTGTTGCTCAGGCCTTGTCTGGCTGGGCTCTGTGGCAGGGCTCTGTGCCCTTGTCCTCCTCCTGAACTCTGAACTCTGTTGTCCTCCTCTTGGCTGCGCCCCTGAACTCTGTGGCTGGGCTCTGTGTCCAGGCCTCGTCCCAGGCCTTTCTGTGTCCAGGCCTTGTCCTCCTCTTCTCCTCCTCTTCGCCGCGGTCTGTGGCTGGCTTGTCCTTTGTCTTGGCCGCGCCCTGAGCTCTCTGGCTGGGGTCTTCCTCTCTTGTCCTTCTGTTGTCCTCCCCTGGTCGTCCTCTTGTCCTGCTGTTGTCTTCCTCTTGTCCTTCTCTTGTCCGCCTGAAGCTTGCCTGGACCGCGCCCGACTGACAATGGAAGGGCGGGCTTCTTCAAAGGGAGGAGTGTGCTTACTTACTCCGGCGCTCGCGCTGCGGGCGCGCTTGGCAGGTGTTTGCGTGGAACGCGCAGGCAGCGCGCTCTGAAGTTTGGAGCCCTCTCTTCAATTGGCGCGCAATTCCTTAAAGGTTGCTTCTTAAAGGCGCTTGGAGAGAGTTTTGGGCGCGCTCCAGGAACAGCGGCGCGCTGCAGGCGCGCACGATTGGGGCTCCGGGCGCGCTCTGTCTGGAAGGCGTTGGCAGCTCTAGAAGGCGTTGGCAGCCCTAGGACTTGAGTGACTCGTCAGTTCGCAGTCGCGTCTGGAAGTTGCTCGAAGGGGGACTTTCGGAAGTGTAGTCTCGGATCCCTGGCATTTTAGGGGAATCTCGGGGAAGACGCAAAAGAAATGTCATCAAGGGTAGCAGTTTTGATTGTGTTGTTTTTGCTTCATTAGGTATGAGCTTGTGTCCTTTTGGTTAGAGAGCCCTCACAGTTCCTGGATGTTCAGGATACCAGAGTTTGTTGAATTGCCGAAGCATTGCCCTGATTTGGGTTGGTGGACTGTTGACAACTGCCGTTCAAGAGAAGGTGGAGAAAGCGAAGTCCATTTGTTTGCAATACCGTACCCGTACCTTTGAAAGGAATGAAAGCGTTGCGCAGCGGTTGCAAGCAGCGCATCGCCCTGAGAGGTTGACGCCCGTGCAAAAGGATGAACTGGCCTTAGTGCAAAGAGAACAGGTGGAAACAAAGCTGTGCGCTTCTGCGCTGTGGGACGCTGTGTCCCATGGGACAGTCTCGAGCCCACGCGTCGCCGTTTCTCCAGAATGGCGCTGTGCGTTGCTTTGGAAGTGAGAAGAGCTGGAAATTCCAGAGAGTAGAAACCCATTTGACGCACGCTGGATCCGCGCTTCATCAGGCAAGTTGCGCGCGCGGCGATGACAGCGCCGGTGAATGGAACGATGGTGGGCAGACTTCAACGCCTACACGCGTATCAACTTCTCCAAGCAAACAATGATTGTGGAACCCCAGCAGGTTGCGCAAGAAGCTTTCAATGCATCAAGAGATTGCAAAGGCTTGACAGAGAAGCCATGAAGAGGGCAGCAGATGAGATTGAACGTGAGGAAGCACAGATGACGAAGAGAACATCGACAAGGGCATGGACGAAAAGTGCAGAAGAAGTAGAACGCTATGATGGTGTGGTACGAGAGAGAGAGAGAGAGCGAGCTCCGTAGCAAGAAGTTTCCAGAGCAAATGAAGAGAAGAGGATGAAGCTCGCTTGGCAAGTTTCACCAAATATGGTTGAACAGAGACCTAGCCTGAAATTGGAGCACGGTGGCCGGAGATACATGAACCGCAACGTGGCTTGTGCGTCATACCGTGGCTTTGCTCGCTCAAGACAATAGCCCGCTCATATGTTTTCGCAAGAAACAAGGGATTGACGCAAAGGAAGGAACAGATGCAAGCAAAAGGCTGAGGCTCCGGCAAAACAAAATAAGTATTAAGTATTCAGGAGTGTTGAAAAATTTCAAGAAAGGAACATGTCTGTGCAAGGCCGGTAACCACATCAAAGGTGGGTACTGGGGATGAACGCAAACAAATTTACGCGTGCGCATATGGGCGTCCGACGAATTTATTGGAGTATTACAGAAGTAAAAGAGGCCGCCTTGTGCCTTTGAGAGGTGAAGAATTCCTTGGCAACCGATAGGGCGCGACCCAGCACTGATATCCTTATACCTACCAAGATTGTTTGGGTTAGTGTTGGACGGTACTTTGATGGCTGTGCGTTGGAATCCAAGGTGCTTTCCAATCGGAGCAGTTCTGAACCCGAGCGGGTTTTAATTACATCGTTGTCAAGTGAATCTGCTGTGCTGAGTGCTGAAAACAAACGTATTGCCTTGGAAGTTTGTGGATTGCAAGAGAGCCCTCATATGCTAACCGATACCCTCTTTTGCAGGTTCACATGCTTTGGTGATCTTGGGTGCTCCTTGTTCCGATTAATCATTGCGGGCGCGGTCTCTCATGTTTATAGCTTGCCAGAAGCTGAGAAGCAGACATGGATACAAGGCCAGCCAACAAGCACTGGAAACACAGTAGGCTCCGGCTCAACAACCGCACGCGCTGAAGAGAGAGCGCCAAAAACCTTTGCAAGCGCACCAAGCCACAGCCCTGCTGCTTGCTTCCGCAAGACTCTCACATGGTACGCTTATGAGCTTCCGACAAATCTGATCTAGTGCATATAGGTGGTCTTGGGATATTGAAATCTTGGGATGTTGGAATCCTGCAGCAAACCTGCATAACCGATGGGGGCCGACCCGTCTACCGATTCCGTTTTGATGTGCCAACCACTTTAGGAAACGCGCCGCCATTTTGCATTTGTAGCTGGCTGCCAAACAACAGAAACTTGACGCCGCCAACAAAAATATGGCTCCCGGAGCGCATATGGCGCGCATAAGGCTTCAGGTCCTGAATTCGAACCATAACCACACAGTAAACAAAGTGCAACATGGACATGGACAACCGATACTTCACAAACGACACCCTGATGACAGCGCGCGTCAAGTGCCCAAATCCTCACAACCGATAGGGGGCGACCCAGTTTGGCTATGGCATACTTTTTGCATTTTGGATGAGCAAATATTTTTGTCCGCGCTTCATATTATGCGAAGTAGAGTCGTAGAATCGGATGAGAGATGTTTCCGGAGGAACGTGGAATTTTTGCAATTTCTCGAAACTAAGTCTGGACGAGTTCGACGCAGAGAGCTTCACAGTTCCAGACACGGAACGCTCACAACGAGGGGAAGATCCAGCTATCTTGGCCGTGTTGCAAAATGCCTGGGCTCAGGACTGTGGGTAGTAATATCACAACAATGCAGGTGTGCTTGCGCTTTTTGAAGCGCCAACTGCCTTTGGTTTTCCACACTGGTTCATAAACAGGCGAACCCAGAATTTCATGTGAGGAAAGAAGAAAGAGGCAGTTTTGCGCTGGTGAATGTGGTGGTTATTTTTGATTTGTCACAATCTGTGGCGCTGTTGGGGGAGGTGCGGTGGTTTGACTGAGCAACTCAATGTTGAACTGAACCCAGCAGGAAAGATCCGAAAACAGCGCCTGCTACCAGATCAGTACCCTCACCGACCCACTAAAATATGTTCCTACTGTTTGGAGTTTGGTGGCTGGCTGTCCCAGTGCCCATCCACTCTTTCCAGGTACCAAAACATTGGCTCTCAAAAATCACGAGCATGACCTTCGTGGCAAGCGAAGGCTAACCCAATGCTAGTCTGATCAAGTGGTTCAACGACTTGTTTTTCAAGGACAACAATTACTTTCCAGAGTCAACAAAATTAACGCCTGATCAATTTTTTAGTTCTGGTATGCTCGCATGGTCGTTCGAGGAGTTGACTCCTGATTTAATTCTTTCAATTCTGGCATGGTCGCTTGCGGAGTCAATTCCAGCTTGAAATCTTTTCATTTCTGGCATGGCCGCTTCCAGAGTTAATTCCTTTTCTCTGGGTTCTTTCTCTGGTGTAAAGCGGTCTAGTTTCCTAGTCTGCAAGAGGATTTAAAGCAAACGTTGGAAACATTCAATCCGTAATTTTTTCTCTGTCGTAAACTATCCTTTGTCCCAGACTTTGGTGTCAGTGAAAAACGGATCATTCTTTGGTCCCAAGAGGAAATTGAATAAGAATTGGAAAATTGAAGCTAGAGCTGAACATTTTTGCAAAATATAGTGTCACTGAACCAGGGCTCTCCCCCTGGTGGAGGTTTAAAACCGGCTTTGCAACGAATTAAATCTAGAGTTGAGTTTTTCTTTGTGTCTCAAACGCAAGAGCATACCTGCAGCCCATTTGAGCTTTATGGAGAAGTGAGGGTCTGTCTGCGGTGCGCCACTCCACTGCAGTTAGCCGTTTTTGGAAAGAGTTAAACCCAGTGTCGCTGAGCCAGTGTTCTCTCCCTGGTGTACGCCTGTCTACTTTCTTAGTTTCCCAAGGAGATGTTAAGCAGAGTTTGAACATACCTATGTCAATCCAGTGTTAATTCTTTTTCTTTGTGTCTCAAACTAGTGTCACTGATACACTGTTCATTTTCTGGTCTAAACCTTTCTATTTTTCAGTCTCCCCAAAAATCAATTCCAAAGTTAATTCTTCTTCTCCTTGTCTCAAGCAACGGTCACTGAAACCACATTGCAACATAATTAAACCCAAAGTTAAATCTTCAGATCACTACACGTGAGTTATTAAGTTTGAAACAGATTAACATTAGCTCTTGATGTACTTCTTTCGCGCCCTATGTTGGACCAAGGATTGATGGACAACAACCCTCTCTGAAATTACTTTTTTCTAACTCTTGAAATCCGTCCCTACCATGACTGAGCCAAATCATTTTGCCCCTTTTCTTTACAGCAAACTAGATCCAACATGATTGCCCAACCCATCAATCAAGACCTTTTGAAGAGATTTGGCAGGTTTCCATCTTCCAGCTTCAAAGACAGCTGCTCCGATACCTGTGAGGAAGTGGAACATTTTCCTGAGGTGATTCGGGCCAATCGAGGCGCGACCGGGTGGTTCATAGCCGGGTTTGCCTTGTCGAAATCGGCAGGTAAGACTGTCGGCGCGACCCAAGCTCAAGATTTGCTTCCACAGGTGCGCAAAAAAGACGTTCTCTTCCTGCTTGTCAAATCAGTGTGTCAGGATGCGGTGCACTTCTTGTGCTTGGAGCAAGACTTTGCAAGTTTTCTGTTGCCAACATAGATTTTCCTCTGTTGGAGATTGCAGCTGCTGATCTTGGAGCTGGTTCGGGAAGCACAGACTCTGGGGCTTGCGGGCTAACCTCACCTGAAAAAGAGGCTGGTTTGATTGCGTGTTTGTGCTGTGGGATTTTTTTTTGCGCCAGTGCCTTCAAGCAGAACAGGCGAGAGCCGCAGATCTAGCCTCCACCACGCAAGCTTGTCTCACACAAGGCATTGAGCCTTGATGTCAGTGTACTGAGCCAGCGTTCACTTGAAACATGAAACCGAGCTGTTTGAAGCGATCGATGATGATTGTACACGATCATACACTCTTTGGCACTCTTTTGAGTTGGCCGAGTGCACTCTTCTTGCAGCTCTTGCGATTCTACTAGTTGTGCTGAGTTTGGCGGTGCCAAGTATCTGTTCCGCACTTCGAGCGCACAGCTTTTGTCAGACAACCCTTGAACTTTGAAGGTCACGACTCATTGCAAGCATAATCTTCAATTTTTTGGCTGGACAACTGCTCAGACATTTGTAGAAGTACAGCGTGCAATGATAGACATAAAGGCCCCAGCCTGCAATGGAGGGTGGGAGGGAACTCTCCTTGACCTCTCGAGGGCTCGAGCCCTTTTGTTTGGAATAGTCGCTTCCCTCATGGTCCTCCTGACGGTGGCGGAAGCCCAGGCCGTGACTACAGCTGTGGACCTCCTGAGGATTCGGTTGTTCACGCTGCAGGAGACCCAGGGAATGACCTACGGTTGTTGGCCGCTATGCCCTACTGGACTATCCCCCAAATTGTGGGCTCTGCACCACCTCCACCGCCACCCAGCCCAACCGCCGTTCACATTCGCGCCGCCGACAATCATGAACTTCAAAAGTTTCGGCTGTTCTGTCCCCAGCAATACTTTCGAGAATGTCTCGCTACATGGCAGGCTCCCGATCTTTTTCACCACTTCATCCTATGCGTCAGAGATGCACACTCTGCTTCGCCTCCCTTTCTTTACCTTGTCTCCGAACTAGCGATCCGATGTGAACGGCGTGGCATCAAGAGAATTATCGCGCAGCGCACACCAGGCAATTGGAACATTGAAGCGGATTGGCTGTCAAGGCCGCATGAGAGGGGAAGCAAGCCAGAACGGCTCAGCATTCAATGTGCCCATCAAGACGTTCCCGAGGAACTTGATGCACAAGGCATATATCTTTCCCCTCCCGGGGTAGCGCCGGCACTCTGGTCGATCGACAGGCTGATCAGCCTATCCAAGACGGGGCGCCCACATCATGGGCGAAGGAGGTGGCAAAAGAAAAGGAATTTGCAAGAACCCCATCTTCATCGCCCGTGAGGGAACCCAGGAATCGACGCCCCACAGAGCAGCAGAGATCCAGAAGTCGTCAAGTCGGTGACTCCGGCAGCCAGATCAGTGCAGGCAAGAATTTTGGAGGTTATGGTCATGAGAGCTTTGGAAGAAATGCGCCGTATTGTTGGTGGACCGGGCCCCATGCTTCGAATTCACTGAAATCGAGGAGAACAATGGGAATGCTGGGAGTCAGCTCCAAAGGCCCCATGTCGTGCATGAATGCATCAATTCGCGAGCGGGGTGATTTAGCTGGAGGGCCATGGTGGGGGGACTTCATCACGCGTTGACGACATCACATCGGAGCTTGACGCGAAGAACGGCGATGAACCTAGAGAGCCAGCAAGGAGGGGCTCGTTCGAGGAGGCCATGCGCATCCTGAAGGGCAAGGAACGGTTGGAGGCAGCGAGACGAGACCTGAGGGAAGGCTTCTTGGCGCGGTCGCCCCGGGCAGCGCAAAGGACGCAGAGAGAGCAAGTCTTGACCATGGCGGCAGAAGCGTGTGGACAGAGACATATAACGTGTTCCCCCTCAGCATAGAAACGGTGGAGAAGGTGGCGGCGGCAATCAAAGCAGTGGGATGGCCCTCGGGTGATCAATACATCAACGAGCTCAAGCTACTTCACATTGAAGCAGGTTGGGAAGTCAGCCAACAGCTGGGCAAGGTGATTGCAGACTGCAAAGATCGCTGAAGAGAGACCGTGGACTTGTCAAGAGAGCCTCGCAATTCAAGGTGGAGGAGATTGAACAGCTGAAATGGATGCTACAGTTCCGAGAACCCAAGAACTGCAAGGCCAGCGCTATCCTACGCCTGGGCGCCTGGGCTGGCCTATGTGAGACTTGGCATGCCAATCCAGGAATTAGCTTTCTTTGGCAGGTGGAAGTCTTCGGTGGTCCTTACATATGCAGAGGATGCTTTGCAGTCCGAGCCAGCGAACAGCAGGACAAGAAGCAGAAGATGAGCAAATGCTTTCCGGGACCTCCTGATGGTTCTCATATAGCAAGAACTTGTCGTGTCACAGATGCCGAGGTCTTCGACAGCTTACAACTCGAGAGAGCGAGTGTGGCGCAAGGTCGATCCAGTTGGGATGTACCTATGAAATCCTGGGCTACGACTTGCGGCTGTTTAGCAGGAATTCCTCGAAGGCGGTGCTACAATCCCAAGTGAGTCTCGCCCAACGAAAGTGCAAAAAGTGCTTGAGAAAGTCTTGCAGCGACGCCAGTGAGTCTTGTTCAGAGCGTGAAAGCTCAAAGGCCAATTAAGATGACCTGTTAGACTACCAACCAAAAAGTCCAGCGAGCAAGCACCAAAGGAGGGTGAGAGGGTCTGCAAGCAGCAAAGGCCTGTTGTCATATATATATAGTGTACAAACAAATCTTGCAAATATAGTTTTGCATCCTAAGCTTAAAGATGGCAGCCCCTTCGGTGCAGCTGATGGCAACGCCACCTTGGCGCGTGGCAATGATTCCCACTGTGCCTGATGTCCCTGAATTGCAAAGGAGTGCGGCTTCACAAGTGAAACAACTTGTAGAAGCACTCATTCTTGGTGCCCAGGTTTCTTCACGGTTTATGCCTGTTTCTTGGCTTGCATCCATTCACATGTTTTCAAGGCCATTGGTCCATTCAGCCGAAGTCCTGAATAAGAGAGTCGTTGATTCTTTTCGTGCTACCTAGCACTTGTGGAGGTTTCCTTCGCCCAAGCTGGACCCAAGGACACCAGAGTTTGTTATCGCAGAAGGTAGCCACAAGCTTTCGGCGAACATGTCGAAGACATACAGATCCAGACAAGAACAGGGTCAGACTGATAGACTACACTGTTCTTGCTGGCCCTTTTTCTTGTGCTTCTATCAGTTGTTGTTTGGGGGCACAGGCCTCTAAAACCAGCAAATGTCAAACATATTCCTTTTAGTTTCAATGAAAAATTTGACTGTAGGACTCATTTGAGCTTTGCGTGCTGCGGTTGCAGCGGGAAGCCAATGCAGTTGCATTGGCTCCAGATGGGCGTCGTGCAGCTGTGGGCCTTCAGGCGTGTGTCGTGTGAATGCTGCGGTGTTGAATTTCCCAAAGAATCCGAAGAACCATGAAGAACCCACAGCCCACGCCCTTCTGCGTCCCAAGCCTCGTAGCTTTCTTGCTACTACTAGCTGACTAGCTACCTGCCACTTATTGTTACTTGCTTGCATATCTTGCCAGGACCACACGCTGCAGATCTGGGATTTGGACGCAGGGGGCCTTTGCTCTTGGCATATTCTGGCCTTCGGGCTTTAGCTTGGGTTCGACCTAGGCACGCTTGCTTCTGCACGTTCTGCGGGGTCACAAGTACTGGGCCCTGAGCTCAGTCCATAGTGTGCCTCGGGCCACTTGCAGGATTGCCAGAAAGATTTGGCAGAGGTGATGACAGACGATCATTATTAACTATAACTGATGAGCGAGATCAAGATGCAAGACATTATGGAAAAGATGGGTGCAACATTGCCCCTTAGAGACGCATTCCGCTTCATTGGGGTGCTTTCCAGACACTGTCAGCGGTGCTTCAGACGCCGTGAAAGTGTATAGGGGCTGAAATAGTGACACGCATTCACAAGGTCCACGAGGTCCAAGAGATCCGGTGACAATCCTGAAGAACAACGTGGTGAGATATGGTGAGTATCGGAGAGTTGTTTCATCAATTCTAAAGATGCTACAAACCAACTGTCCGTGTTTTGCCCAGTCGACGCAGACTTATCAGAGTCATCAATGAAGCGAGTTCAGATATCAACGACTTTGATTGGGTTCGAGAACGCCACCTCCAGTCCAGATTTCGCTCAATAGTCTTCACGTGTAAGAATCATCCCTTAAGAGCATTGCGTTCTGCATCTCTGAAGGTCTTGCATTTTGTGACACTTTGCAATCCAACTCACCTGAAGGTAAACGATGTGACCTTCTCTCGCGATGGAACATTGCTAGCTTCAGCGAGTGCAGACAAGTCCATCAAGGTGCCAAGACAACAAGAGGGTCCTTTCTAATAGTATGCAACATGATCTCTCAAAGCAGCATGGCCAATGGAAGATTGTTGATTGATTCTACGAGCTGTTTACTCAAGAACAGGTGTGGCAGTCCTCCACGGCAAGCTGCAAGGAGCGGCACTCAGTGACACAGCGTGCATGTGGGGCATATTTTGTCACATTGCTTTGTGTGGCTTCATATTTGCACTTGGAGTGCGAGACCTTTCCTGCTCTGAGGGAGATGTGACAGCTGAAATGTGACAACTTTGCAGAGACCCAAAATATTTGAGAGCTTCTGTTGTTCCCTTGATTTGTTGGAAGGCAACCTTGCAAGGCCACATGCTGTCGGTCTCTGCTGCGGCAGCCTGAGTTCGGTGGACGCAAACCACTGCAGTCTCAGGTCACAGCTCGCCCCCGCCCAAAACTCAGGTCGCCTTCTCCGGAGATCGGCGACGACTTGCGTCTGGCAGTTGGGACAAGACCGTGCAGCGTGCCAAGCAGTAAATAGGGCCAGGGAGTGTTTTTACAACCAGTGTTTTGTACTTGGGCGTGTTGTTCCCCAGGTTGCTCGCGACTATGCAAGGGGTTCTTACGTCAATAGCGAGGGCTCACGTTTGCCGCTCCTTGTTTTTGTCGACAGTCACTCACAAAGTTGACAGGTGCAGCGCTTTGATGGGCCTTGCATGGTCGTGTCGGATTTGCGATGTTGATCACGTATGCACTTTCGGCCTTGGTGCCCACTTGTTGTGGCAAGCGAGCGCAAGGGACCGCTCAAGCTTTGCAGCAATTTTGCTGACATGTTGAGATGCTGTTATGCTATTTTGCTCGGCATTCTAACATGTTGCCACTCCGTTCACGCCAACTTGCAAACGCACTGTCATGCCATGCTCACTTGCAGGCTTTGCTGTGCTAACATGGCGCATGTGCTATGCCTCTATGCCCACATTTTGCCCTGTTGTAACGCTCGCATGGCACATTGAAAAGGCTCACGTGTTTCGAAGCAGTCTGTGTTGCTTGGCAAAGATCCAACGCGTGTGGGTGAGCTTGCGATGTTGCCATTGGCGAACTAATAGACGGATTTGGCGGCCGCCGCCGGTGAATCCCCTTAATGAAGGCTACTGTACCTACCTGAAGCTAGCTAGTTGCGGTTAAGTTGGGTTATCGTGCTACGTGGTGGTCCAGGCCCCGCACAAACCACAAGAAAACCACTTCCATTTGGTTTGGGCGCGGGCGTGCGGGGACTGCAGCGCGCAATGTGCGTAAGGTGTAAAGCGCCGACGAAGACGATTGCTTATAGAGCTTAAGGACGCTGCCGCAAACAGGGTGCAATAGCTGCGCCCGCAGAGAGACCTAAGAGGCCGAGCCCCAGGCCAATCCTGGTAAACGGCTTTCCTTGATAGTCCGAAGGCAAAATATACATCTATTAAGTTTTGTAAAATCAAGCGGCGTCCTACTAGAGCGGGTCGGCAGATTTGCCCAGCCGTTTTTCCGTTGCTGCAGCGACGTTTGTCGTGCATTCATCTTCCAAATGCAGTTGCAGCGCCTTGTGAGGTGTGTGTGGGATGTGGAGACGGCGTCCTGTCTGCAAAAACTGCTTGGCCCTCGAACTGCCTTTCCTCATTCTCGTTTCCTTCAACCTGTTGCCAGGAGCGGCCACACAGACTGGGTGCACAGCATAGCCTGGGCTCCAGGCCCTGGCTCTGTGGGGGCAACGCCTTTTCAAATCACTGTATCACGAGACCTGTTGCAGTTGGTTGTAACCAAGCTGTCGGCGTGGCGAACCACCCATAGATTATATTGTATGTGTTTTTTTTTTGGGGGGTTGTGTGTGTGTCGCCTCCTGTATCCAAGGAGAATGACCACATTGCAAAGCAATGTCTCTAGGAATTTCCCTTATAATTTAGCTCATCTTGTACAGATCCGCAGGGGGGCAATGCAATGAACACCAACGAAAACCTTTCCATCGTGTTGTGAAATGACTTTGGGACGCCGAAGTCGCGTACCTGCAAGAATGGTTAATCCATTCTAAAGTGCTAATGCGTTTTGTTGAAACCTTCTGTTTGACCGACCCAGCGCTTCCTGCTGTTGAGGTCTTATTGCGTGTAAAGGTCTACTTGCAGTAACAGTGGAGTTACCAAGCTGGTATAGCTTTTGCAAGCATGGGTCTAAGTGTCTGCCGCAACAGGGTCCCACTGAGGTCTGTTGTGCCTTTTCTGCTCGAGATGGCTGATCTTAAGTTGGAGAGCTCACTACGTTCAACCGCAGAATGACATACCATGCTGCTGGGTATTCTTTGTGTATTTTTGTTTTTCAATCTCATTCTACCACGCTTCACTTCACGAGACTTTCCGAGCCACAGTGTGTCCCGACTTTTCGTCTCTCTTGGGTCGGGTTCCGCGGCGCACTTCCCATGGCATGTGCCTCTGCAGCCTGCTTCACTATCCGCCTACGCAGCCAGTTTCGCACTATCCGCCAACGTCCGCGGCGCCGCTCTATCCACCTCCACACTCACCTTGTCCAGCGCCGCCACAAGGATGCACTCACTCCAGCCATTTTTGGCCCCATACCGCAGTTCATGCCTGTCGCGCAGCCCAGTCAAGCGCGGCCTGTTCCTGCGCTCGCTTCACCTTCAGCGCCCTTCATGGCGTCTGTCTCCACAGCACCAGTTCAACCTTCTCACACAAGCAGCCATCGCCGCTTTTGGGCCCACCTATCACCCACCAGCGCCCCCACCGGCGCCCAACGATGCTCCAACAGCTTCCACTGCCCAGCCACCGCCTCCACCGCCACCATTGCCACCTCCGCCAGCACAGCGCCGGAACAGGCGCGCGCCGTCGCCTGCTACCGTCTGCTAATCCAGCACCGCCACCACTAACGCCGCCGCCCAAGACCAACAAGCCCAAGCCACCTCCGCACCCTTGCAAACCCAAGGGCGTTTGAGCCCCTCCACCTACTCGACAACGATCCCGCTCCAGGCACCGGCTCCCAAGCCTCTCGCGCGGCCACTCGCCTCACACACATGCCACGCTATGACGCATCCACCGCTGCAGAATGGGATGTTGATCCACCTGAAACCATGCTCAGACCTGCGCAGATGCGGATTGCCCCCAGTCTCCGCTGAGGCTCCTGTTCCAACACTCCCATGCGCCGCAACATCGCTCACCTTTTGGCAGCAGCCAACCTTCACGCTGATGACCTCAAAGATTTGCAACTGGGTGGAAAGACTCCCTCCAAGACTATGACGCCACATCACTTTCATAGTTTACATCCCACGCTTGTCACTGCGCAGTGGCCCCACCACCATACCGGTCAGGCGCCGCGGGAGGAACGCCCAGCATGGGGCTCATCAGTCTCCGTCATGATTCCCAACCTTGTGGGTTTTTTGCGCAAGGCTATGAAACGTCTGGAGCTCCTGAGTACGATGGATGGAACACCGCGTTGGCCAAAACAAATAGATTTGACGGGCCAAAGTATTCCTCCACCTCATGAAATTCACTTCGGGCGGAGAACCTGAAGGTGAGCGCCTTTTGTGCCACGATCGGTATCGTCAAGCATCACAACGTACGCTCGGCTAATGCAGCTCGCAACCAGCGTGCAAAGCCAAACCCAAAGCAGCAAAAGCATCCAGCGCACCACAAGCTTTCTCCAGCTACAGCCGAAGAAAACTGGGATGAACAAGGGGGTCTCCTGATTGACCTCAAGTCCAATCTCCTCCGACCAAGCTGGAGTTATGTCGCCCAATGCAAGGCAAGGTGGCAAGAGATTTTAGACCTTCGACGCTGGCAAGTGAAGCTCAACCTCCCATCTAGGGCCGGCCGCCCTTCCACATGATCCTGCGCCTCCAGAACCTTCCGCTGCTGCCGCCTCCTCGGAGACACTCATCTTTGCAGCGCCGTTGGCCTCGGCGCTGTTTTACGTGACTTTTTGCATTTAAAAGTTTCGGCTTCCTTCGCTTAAATAGTGTGCGCAGTGCATTGTTTCTTCTTCAACCCTTGCACTCAATCTAAGCTTTGGGATCATTGCGGTTGCGTGCTAGTATGCGCGCTTGGAGTTGGGAGCTCGGTTCAATCTTCTTCGCCGCAGCCATGTCCATGTCCACACGTGCATTTCTCTCACCAACCTGTCTTTCTAGTTGCCAGATGGCTTCCAGCTTTGGTGGCACTCCTGGCGCCCTGCCCCGCATCGAAGACTCGCCCTACGATTTGGCCACCGAAGGTCCGGAGTTCTCAGCCTACGCGCTACCGAACCGACCGCCGCCTTTGCACTCCACCCGTGCCCTGTCCGCAACCCCGAGCTATTGTGGTTGCATTGAACGATCCACTTCCTCTCGTGGATCAACCATGATGAGTGGCCTGGTCATGTACAATCAGTGGTTGGGCTTCATGACATTGCGTGCTCTACAGCTTCTTCGACACTTTCCGCAGTGTCACCTTGCTCCTATAGACATGGCGTTCTCTGTCATATCGACTCCCTCTTGAAAAATTCCCAGCGCGCGTCATTTCGCAACTTCAGCGCCCTAGATTCGGCGCATCAATCTTCTTCCACCCGGCTTGTTTATGCTACCTTTCACCGCAGCTGTTTTTCGATTGTGAGTGCTCGACTTCGCCTTCATCTCTCCCCTCCTCTGGACGTTTGCGGCCTTTGCCCGCTGTGTTAGCGTCCAACTTTCGGCAACAGGGCAAAGTCACACCACACTGGAAAAATTGACGGCCCTGCGCGAACCCCCACCCTAACTTCACAATATCACCGACGCCCTTGCTGACGGGGTCCGTTATCGTTGCCACCACCTCCGTCGTCGCATTGCTGACGCGGAGGCGCGCCTTCAGCAAGCCTAGCAGCCGAGCGAAACGACAATCTGGGACGCCGCCCAGAGCATTTCAACGATGCACTCATCCCAACGCGATGGCACCATGGGTCCCAGCCAAGGCCGTGACCGCGACCAACCGCCGCCCGCTGCTGATACGTCTCCGCCCAACCGCCCTACACCCACAGTCTAGCCGGCCACGTGCGTTCAGGCACTTACGCCAGCCACTCACCGCCAGTATGGGGGAGTCCGCCTGTTGGAAAATCCCCGCGCGGACCCCAATCCACACCGCCAGCAGCAGACCCCACTCACGGCGCATCAGCGTCCGCATCATGCACCTTGGACCTCCTCCAGATCACCAGAACGCCCGGTGATCATGTCGATCAGCAGCCTCTTTGAAGCCAGGCTGCGTACCGCTGCACGTGCACTACGACCACGGCGGCTCGCCCCTGTGGAAAAAGTTGTGACGCGAGCGAGTGTGACTGTCTTTCTACTGGACCTTTGTTGCTTCTGTTGATTCTGTTCAGATACCTTGATGAGGACAATCTTTCCTCCCACTTGTTCTAGCATTGGCGATGCTCATTTCGCCGAGTGATCGCTGCAATTTTCGTTTCTGACAGACTCTGCGCCCACCCATACTGTAGATGTAGATAGCTAGCGGCGGCCCCACACTTTTCTTCCTTCTCTAGCCTTGCTTGGGGGTGAATGAATGAATGAATGAATGGATGGATGGATGGACCGATGCGTGGGTGGGTGGATGGGTGGAAGGAAGGATGGATGGATGTATGCGTGTGTGCACGCATGCTTCTATGACATGTATAATGTGTCCACACATGTCCACACATTGTTGACTATTTCATTGTGCTGGCATCTTGATTTGAACTGAGCCAAGATGACAATCTTTGCGTGACCCCTTCAGAGGGAGAACTGGGCCATGAAATCAAACAATGAAAAAGGTCCTCGGCACAGACTGGGAACCACATCCATGAAGCAGCAGACAAAGACAGTAACGGCAAGAAGAGGTGACAACCAAAAACGGCGACAACGACGAAGCATCAGGTGTTTGCATTAGGTGCCATGTTGTGAAACCAAAGTCTGTTTGGAGGTTCATTGTGCAACCAAGCGGCCCACCTCCCATGTCACTGTCACATGAAAGGCCAAGTGTTGCATGGGTCTTATCCATGAAGCGCAGTGAAAAGAGTGAAATGCAAAAGTGAGATGGTCCCGAGGTCAACCTGCAGAGTAAGACTTGAGTAAGATAAACAAGGGAAATTTATATAGTTTGCGTCCGCAAAAGGAGGCAAACACCTACAGTGAGTTGAGTGGGTTGTATCGGGACGGAGAAAGAGCAAGGCTGGAAACCACAAACCACAGACAGAGGGCCAACGATTCTGGCCATTACGAGCAGACTACTGATAATTACAAGCAAACCGTGGGCATTTTGTGTATTATATTTCCTATCTCGGTATTGGCTGTTTCTACACGTTGGGTCCTATGCTCTTGCTTTGAGGCGGCCATCACGTTGCCAGCGCGTCCTCAGACCATTCTGTCCGTGTTTGGGATGTGCTCTCAGGAAGTGTGCAATCATTACAAGCGAGTATGTTGCTATGCTATATGTGTTTTTCTTTGTGCTTCAGAACAATATGCAGAACTTTGCCGCAGGATTTGTTGATTCTGTTTTGGTTGGCCACTTGCAAACGGCCCCGACCTTGATAATGTTTTCTCAGCAGTGCTTCCAGATCCCATTAGTTATGTTTCAGGTGAGTTGTGTTGCTTACTCTTCCAATGGGGTTTGCCTTGCGAGCGGCTCTTTGGATGGTACCGCTGACTGCTCAGAGAGCAAGACGCGCAGATTCTTCTTACGAAAGATTCGACTCCTCGAATCACAAGCAATCTCCTTTGAACAATCAGCAAGCCAAGGTCCGAGTGTGGAACTTGCAGGTGCGATGCTTGTCATACCTAAACTGTAAGGTTCCCTTGGATGGCTGGATGCTGGCCATGTTAGGAATGAGCAGCTGCAATCTATTATAGTGCAGCAGGTAGAGATCCTTTGCCTTTGACACTTTGCATTGTCAAGTATGATGATCTTGGCTGGGTTGTTGACAAGATGGGATGTCCTTACAGTATAGTTTTGTGTTGTTGGTCCCACGAATTCCTTCTTCTATTCCATTGCTTTCCAGCTGCTGGACATGAGAAGACGGTTTGCTTCCGCAGAGTTGATGTGCGCCGAACCTGCAGCAATTTTCATTAGTTCGAGAAAGTAGGCCTTCCGGCCGTGCAAGAAACTTATTTCCAGAGCAAGGACAAAGGAAACGGAACAGGTTGTATCGAAGACCGACGAAGTTCTTGCAAGTGCATATTCGATGTTGGATTTTCCTGCCACTTCCCTTTTCATTCGAGATGTTGGGAGACACTAGTTTCTTGTTTCAGATGGAGTTGACAAGGCTTTGGTGATGTTTTGCTGCTGCCAAACAGAGGATGAGGCGCTATCAACTTCTGCGCATGTTTCTTCCCTTCTGGTTCTTGGTTTCCTGAAACACGTGCAAGTCAACTTAACATACCCTGTATGGTCTTGCGAACTGGCATCAAAGATGGTGTGTTGCACAATCGCAGCAAGTGTGGGGAGTGCTTTGAGTTGTAATGTAAGGCAAAAAGACGTGGAGGAATCATGGGGTTTGCGTCACTATGTGTTTATTGGAAGTTTTTAGTTTGTTGGACAAGAATCTCAGCTGAACTGAACCATGCAGGTCGCATTGGTTGAAGTTGATGCCTACACTGCTGAGGAGCTTTATGCTTTTAGGCTTCTTAAACTGGACAAAGCCCCCACACCATTATGTATTGAAAGTACTTGCTGTACTTACAGCTTTGTCCGGTCAAACAAGTTTGCACAGAGTGCTTGTGAGTATGGCCTTACAGAGCTTGGGAAACGCATTCTACAGCAAACTGACGCAAAGTGCGACGCGAAGTGCGTTCTGTGTTGGGCTTGCAAGTTGGACAGGATGTTGAACATATGTGTATATATATTGTGGATTGGGGGTTTCCCAATCACACACTGGTAGCCACTGGCCTTTTCAGGCCTCCACAACAAAGCTGCGCGCCCTGGCGCTTCTTTTCCACCTGGCCTCAGGTCCAAGCACAATCTCCTGATCGAAGTGGGGCGTCCTCGCCCAACCATGCACCGCCGGATGCAACCTAAGCCCCCTGACTTGTAGCCAAAGGTGATGGCGGTTCGAACGACGTGCTGAACAGGCTTCAGGGGACATGTCACACTCTGCAAATCACACTCCTAAAAAAGTCTAATTACTTTTTGTTGGATTCACTGTGCTTGAGAAGAGTCTTGAATCCATTGGTGGCGAAGTTTCTTGTCAGCTCGTTGTTGAAGCACCACATCTATATCATGGATCCTGCAATGGCCCTGTTCCAACAGTAGACGCAATGGGGTGGCGTCCATGTGTTTCGTTAATGCGTCCGCCATTTGAGCGGCCGAGTGAACCCATTTCACTGCGACTCCTTCAAATAAACGATCCTTAATGATTAGGGCCTGTAAAGTGGTGCGATATTCAGAGCACTGGGGAATTGAAGTCTTTTGCAATAAATCATACAGTGATTTACAGTCAACTATCGCGAATGCTTTCGGGATCTGTGCGTATACCTGTTCAGGCTTCTGCCATTCTAACGAGGGGCTTATCAGCCACGCCCAGTGGATGCGCAACCACCCGAGCAAGTCCAAAGCTCCCGACAGGGCATACGTTTCAGACGCCAAAGTACTTCCAACGACTCGGCTGTTTTTCTTTGAGTACCAAGCAAGCGCGCTGATGTTGGCCGAAACATCATGATCTATTTGATCACTGGTTGTTAAGACCAAGCAACCTTTCTGTGAATGAGCCTTTTCCCTTGAGGCGAATGCTGCATCTGAGAAAGTTGCGAATCGGATTTTCTGGATCGGGATTGTTCGGTATTTGATACTGACATTGCTATGCTTTTTGGCTTCCATTAACAATCTGTTTCCTTCAAGGAGGTCTTCTACGGTGGCAGTGGGAATTTTGGCTTGTAGCAAACTAAGTCGGCAAGCAATATCAGGTCGTGTATTGGTTGCGGCATATTGCAAACTTCCTATTAGACCCCGAAATGATTGAAGTTCTGGAGGTAGAACGGGGTTCTTAAGATCGGTTCTCCGATCTTTCGAGATTTGATTCGGTGGGATATCCTGGATGTATTCCTTTTGGTCAACTTGGATTTCCCCATTTGCTGTTTGGTGGATGTGTAAGCCAGTAAAGATCATGCCTCGTTTCCTGTGACTACCGAACGGAAACTTAGCTTCAAGGCATTTGAGCTTTTTGTGAAATTCTTGGTCACCGCCCCCAATGCCATCATCGACATGGATTCCGATGATTCCATGGATGTTTGTCGCGGTTGCTTCTGCTGGAGTCTTCTCATCCCGAGGCAATACGAAGACACAAGCTTCACTGTTGGATTCCGTGGCACTATCAAACATGAGGCTTTTGGGTGGTCCCGCCCACGACAGCCATGCGGTCTGAAAGCACTGAATCAAGGAGCCTGTGGTCCGTGTATGATATGGTATGGCCATGTGGAAGTTGGTTGCTGTATCAACAAAATGATGGAAACAATATTGTCTTCCTTGAGGATCCTTCCACTCTACTCCATCAAATTGCACCATACCGTTGAAGTCCCGAGCCTCACGCAGGTGTCCTGGTCGGGAAACTTTCGGCAAAGACATTTCGTGACATGTATCACAGGTCATGTCACGGACTGCTTGCTGTATGGCCCATCCATGGTCGCGCAGCGCTCGGCCAAATTGTTCAGTGTTGGGATGTCCAAGATTTTTATGTGTGCGCGTGAGTTGGGTCTGGATGTTCACTGGGAGAGCACGAAACATGGGTCCATGCACTGGCTTCGGCGGCAGTGTCAGAAGAATCTAAGACCGTTTTCCCATTCGGTGGCATTACTTCTGATCTACTTTCCTTAGACCCTGACCCTGTGCATGTGCTCTCTGGCTTTTGGTCTCCTTCCCGAATTCCTTCATCGGAAACCTTGGGGTGAGCGAAAAACGTGCTGGAGTTCCATTGCGAATCTTTTGCCGGTGGGACAATTTCGAAAGGTTCTCCCATTGTTGGTCCGAAAAGAATTGTAAAAGCTTTCGCTCCCGACCAAAAGTCCATCGATGAGTTCCCTTCCCTGCAGGAAAGTCCATGGTTCGCAGTCGATCTACTCCCTTACACAGTTCAATAGCTTGGATCTGCATGTTCGGAAAGATTTGTTGGACACTGTCAAAACATGGTCCCTCTGACAGAACTCTTTTACCAACTCTGGGAGCCAGGTCTTCAAAACGGTGTAGCAAGAGCTCGAGGGCGGTTCGAGTGTCCACTTGTCCGAGTGGTTCATACAAGGCATCGGCTGGTGACTTCACGTTCAGGCGTCTCCTCTTAGCAGGATTGGTGTCTTCGATTTCTGCTGCGTAGACGGTACGACATGCTTCCGACAGACTGTGTTCATGGGTTTCCTTCACTTGCAAACTACATTGTATGATCCTACTTAGATGTTGTGCAAAAAGTCTGGTATAGTTCTCAGTGTAACTGCTGACTGTTTGTCTTGCCTGACCTGGGGTTTTGCATGAACCCGCAATTGAGGCATGTTGATGAGAGCCTGGACATTGCAATCGTTCCAGTCGACTGGCCATGATCGTTGAGGTCGTCCAGACTTGGGTTCGCTTTCGAAGCAGCTCCTGACTATTGGGGTGTCTTAACTCACCTGCCACACACATATCACAAAGAACCCTTTGAGTGCTGTCAACTACCGGTTGCATGTCTGTTTGAAACATGAGCTCGGATCCCTGTGGTTGTTCGAGATGGAAAGGGTAGTCTGGACCTCGCCATCTCTGCAAACAACATAGTGAGGAGCGCAGGCGAAGGTGGATGCTCTCCGCTCGTCGGTCGGTCAGTATGCGCTGGGCCAACTCAACAGATTTCATGAGGTTGAGTCTGCTCCATGAGCACCATGGTCCACACTTCGGTGATACCCAGATATGCTTAGGCCTAAGCTTCCATATTTGATCATATAGTGCACACCGGCCGGCAAAAGTTCCGAGATCACCATGCTTGAGACCGAAGCGAGACGCAACTAATCCACCCAAGTTGGCTTGCATGGTCAATTGGCTGTCGCTGGAACAATATACCTCTAACAGATCAATCCCCTTGTGATTGAGATGTCTTCGTTGCTCTTGAGGGTCTGGGGTCCCAAATCTCTTTCCCCAATACACATGCGTTTCACGAAAAATCTCATTGTGCACAATCTCTTCCTTCATCAACAAATCGTGAAAATACTGTGTGTCCAAGACAGTTTGGTTTCGTGGTTGCTGTGCATGTTCTTTGCCAAGGGTATCATGCAGTTGGACTCGCTGGTGGCTTCCTAAGGTCAGACACTCTGCCTGGCTCTCAGTGGGCAGACCTACTGGTCGGTCGGGTTGAGATGGTTGGTGACAAACTGCAGCTGTTGCACGATCTGGTTGAGTGCTCCCTCGATCTGACTGATCCGCTGATTCTGTTGGACTGATTCCTCGCGGATCATCTCCCAATGGCTGCTCTTCTGACTTGGCGAAGGTGACGAACTGGGTGTTCGATCCTGCCATTCTTGAGGAGACGTCATGATCGGTCGACGACTCTTGGCCTTGGAGGCCGTTCCCAGTTGATTCTTGGGCTGAGTCTCTGGAGTCTTCTCTTCGGCCAGTTGCTGTTCGAGTCGATCGGTGCACAGGCTGACATAGTGGATGAACTTTCGGTGAGGCCCCTTTGTGGAGTTCTTGTAGGTCGATGTGAACCATGCCGTATAGCGAGGGTCCTCCTGTATACGACCTTCAGGTATGTCTGGCCCTTCTTCTCCTTGCCGAAGTCGATCTTGTGGTGGTCCAGTTCTTCGACATTCAG